CCCGGGTTGGAATATCTATCTCTACATTCCCTGAAATCATTGGTTTCAATTACTTTTGACTCATTTGAACAAACCTCAAATGAAAGAAACGCGAAAGTGTTCAACAATGGGGAATAGCGCAGATGAAAAACCCTCTCCCCAGCCCCCACAATACACAAATAAAACATCTAACTCTGCAGTGCGGATTATGCTGAAACGTATCCCACCATATTAGTGCTCCTGAATTATTCTTCCTCAGGACCACAAGGCTGTAGCTATCCTTACCTTCTTCAGTCTTCTGCTTTTGTCTTCCACTTCAAGCCTTTAAAACACAGCTTGCATCACTATCCCTGCTACCTGATTGCCCAGGTAGGTCACACAAAAGCTGACAAACCTCTCCCACCTGGGGAAGGGCAACATTCAAGGTTACATTTTTCAAGGAAGAGGGGAAAAAAATATTCTACGGAATGCAGACAAGTATCGGAGCTTGCATAATACAGAATACGTTCCAAGGTGTCAGCTTGGTTCAATTGGTAACACTCTCAACTTCTGATCCACTTCTGGGTTCACGACTCAAATCAGGACCGAAACCTTAGAGTCAGTCCATCCTGATACATACTGAGAGGACACAGCATTGTCAGAGATGCCTTCCTTCAAATGGATTGTTAAACGCAGGTCCTGTGGAAATTAATGATCCCAAGACATTATTTAAAACATATTCAGCGCCTTGGGACGTCCTCCCGACGTGAAAGGCGCTCTATAAATGGAATCGTGTTGTTGTTGTTGTTGTTAAAACATAAGTGAATTTCTTCCAGTTTCCTGTCCAGATAATAATCTTCCAGATTAATTGGCCATTTATTTCATGCACTTCCTGGTTAGCTGCAATGTGCAATCTGGCTGCCACTTAGTCTACAAACAGTCAATACCCATGACCACAATTACTTATGAAGCTCTTTCAGATGTTGACTTTGTAGGTATTATATTAAGACACAAGGAAATGCTATTAATAATAGTATTCAAAATTAATTCTACATTAACTGTAGTCTTGAAAAGTCATTTCAACAACAAAAAATACAGTCCCGTCAGAAATTGTGACGTCTCACTAATTCGCACCCACGGTTTCCGAGGCTCAGTGAATCTCCCTCCGCTGGCCTCTGCCCACCCAATGTCAGCTGCTGAGATCCATGACCAAGCTCTGCCTCATACTGGATAAAAAGTCTACAGGCTCTGAATCACCCTCACGTTCTTTAAATAAAACAACACCATCCATTCATCCACAAATGCACACAAAGCTTCCTCGGCACTTGGGATTTCAAAACACTGAATTACAGGCTGGGTGACTTACCCTGGTCGAGATTGAGAGAGGAGAGACTCCGTCCGGGAGCTGTGTATCTATCTGCCTGGAGTGCAGCAGTTAATCTCCTTTTGCTGACCAGGTGCTTTAACATAAGTGTTTGTCGCAGAGAGCCTCGGGATTCTGGTTTACATTTGCTGACTGAACAGAGGCAGTCGCCAAGACAACTCCACGGCTGAAAGGTACAGCCTTTCAACCCACAGCTTTGGAGGCGGTAAATGTTTTTGTGCAATATTGTGGACAGACAGAAGCAAAAATCAGCTGCGACTAAATAACCATTTATAAAAATAGGAGCAAATTACCAACGCTGCCAATATCAGTTTCTAATTTGCTTCCAGGTTGCTGCGGTGGTGTTAAGAGCCTGGGAAACCGTTAGTGAAGGAACACATAGAAACAGGAGTAGACCATTCAGCCCCTGGACCCTGTTCCGCCTTTCTACGGGGATCACGTCTGAAAATGTGAATGGATCCAGCGTCCGAGGTTCCAGATTTCCACTACCCTTTGGAAAAAACCTCAACCAGATCACCCCTCAACCTTTTTATCTCAAGGGAACAGAAACGTTTTATGGCAACCTGTCCTCGTAATTTAACCCCTTAAGCCCCGGTACAAGGTGGGCTTCCAAGAAAAGCCGTATTCGTACATGTTCATTTGAAAATGGCCGGGTTTGAA